TCCACTCACTGCACTCACTCCACTCACTCCACGCCGCTAAATCCACTCACTCCAGTCACTCCACGCACGCCACTCACTCCACTCACTCCACTCACTCCACTCACTCCACTCACTCCACTCACTCCACTCACTCCACTCAATCCACTCACTCCACTCACTCCACTCACTCCACTCACTCCACTCACTCCACTCACTCCACTCACTCCACTCACTCCACTCACTCCACTCACTCCACTCACTCCACTCACTCCACTCACTCCACTCACTCCACTCACTCCTCACTCACTCACTCCACTCACTCCACTCACTCCACTCACTCCACTCACTCCACTCACTCCACTCACTCCACTCACTCCACTCGCTCCACTCACTCCACTCACTCCACTCGCTCCACTCGCTCCACTCGCTCCACTCGCTCCACTCGCTCCACTCGCTCCACTCACTCCACTCACTCCACTCACTCCACTCACTCCACCCACTCCACTCACTCCACTCACTCCACTCACTCCATTCACTCCACTCACTACTCACTCACTCACTCACTACTCACTCACTCAGTCACTCACTCACGCACGCACGCACGCACGCACGCACGCACGCACGCACGCACGCACTCACTCACTCACTCACTCACTCACTCACTCACTCACTCACCCACAAGGAACACTGCTAAAAGCTCCGCTGCCACGCAACCCAGATGAGTCAGTAATAGTGAGGCAGCAGGAGTCACTGTGAGCCAATGCGAGTGAGTGTGAGTGAGTGTGGGCGTGAGTGGGTGAGTGAGTGAGTGAGTGAGTGAGTGAGTGAGTGAGTGAGTGGGCACGAAATTTGCAAGCCATGTCCAAAGTGCTGCGCCTGTCACGCAACACGGCCAGCCGCGCGCTCGACAACATCCAGTCCCCTCAGACAGCTACCAAACGCTGCGCGCGCCATGCAAACAATCACCCAGGTGCGGGAATTTCTGCGCTTGCCGCGAACTTTGCGAGCCATCTCCAAAGCGCTGCGCCTGTCAAGCAAAACGGGGCCCCCAGCCGCGCGCTCGACAACATCCATCTCCAAAGCGCTGCGCCTGTCACGCAAAACGGGCCCCCCAGCCGCACGCTCGACAACACCCAATCCCTTCAATGCTTCCCATGCCACGCAAACGTACAGAGAGATGCGGGAAACGCGGCGTCTGCCACGAAATTTGCGAGACATCTCCAAAATTCTGCGCCTGTCACGCAAAACGGGGCCCCCAGCCGCGCGCTCGACAACATCCAGCCCGCAGGAAATTCTGCGCCTGCCGCGAAAGTTGCAGGCCATCTCCACAGCGCTGCGCCTGTCACGCAAAACAGGGCCCAGCCGCGCTCCCGACAACATTGAGTCCCTTTAGACAGCTGCCAAATGCTGCCCACGCCGCGCAAACGTACAGTGAGACGCAGGAAACGCTGCCTGCCAACAAATTGCAGGCCATCTCCAAAGTGTTGAGTCTGTCACGCAAAACAGGGCCCCCAGCCGCGCTTGACAACATCCAGCCCCTAGCCCCGCAAACGCACACGCGGATGGGTCAGTGTGAGTGAGTGTGAGGGAGAGTGAGTGGGTGAGCGAGTGAGTGAGTCAGCGAGTGAGTTGAGTTGAGTTGAGTTGAGTTGAGTTGAGTTGAGTTGAGTTGAGTTGAGTTGAGTTGAGTTGGGTTGAGCGGAGTTGAGTGGAGTGAGTGGAGTGAGTGGGGTGAGCGGAGTGAGTGGAGTGAGTGGAGTGAGCGGAGTGAGCGGAGTGAGTGGAGTGAGTGGAGTGTGAGTGGGGTGAGTGAGTGGAGTGAGTGAATGGAGTGAGTGGAGTGAGTGGAGTGAGTGGAGTGAGGGGAGTGAGTGGAGTGAGTGGAGCGAGTGGAGTGAGGGGAGTGAGTGGAGTGAGTGGAGTGAGTGGAGTGAGTGGAGTGAGTGGAGTGAGTGGAGTGAGTGGAGTGAGTGGAGTGAGTAGAGTGAGTGGAGTGAGTGGAGTGAGTAGAGTGAGTGAGTGGAGTGAGGTGAGTTGTTGAGTGAGTGGAGTGAGGTGACTTGAGTGAGTAGAGTGCATTTGCTTGTCCCAGCGCGGGATGACTGCAGAGACCCAACACGAATCGTTTGCGAGAAAAGAAGTTGCGCCGCGACTGCCAGAGATGTGTCACGCCGAGAAAAATGACATGACAACAAGAAAAGATGACGCGCCGAGCAAACTCGTTGACACTGGCTTCTTCCAGTGACTCGCGCTCGCCGCGAGTTAACGTTTTTGCGCACCGTCCTTGGACACAAGTTCTGGATGCAACGCAATGGGCCTACTGAGGCGCACAAAAATCCGGTTCCCACCCATCCAGTCTAAACCAAACCACTGGATCATTAAGAGTTCTCTGATATGGGGCAACTTTTTGGATGTTGCAGCTCTCCCAAGGCTTGGCAAGGTACAGCCAGACAGGGCCAACCGTTCGAATTGAAGCTCAGGATGGTGGAGGAGACTGGCTGCGGCTGCTTCCGGCGGCAGAGGCGCCTCACGGAGGTGCCTGGATTGCAGCGGGAGCACCTAGGCTTCAAGAAACGCCGCCGAGGTGTACTCGACATGTGTCAAAGAACCCCAAGATGGCAGCTTGGCTCCGTTGATACATGACAGACTCACAGACACGGAGACAGACACACAGACGCGCAGACGCACAGACACGGAGACACTTTGACGCCCAAACCTCCAGACACCGACGGGACATCCAGACACAGACACCCAGACACGCTGACACGCATTGACGCACAGCCCCCCGGACACTCTGTCACACAGACGCACGGATACCCACACACAGTGACAAAGACAGAGCGACACACCGACACACAGACACACAGACACACATGAACACACAGACATGCAGGCGCATAGTCACACTGAGACACATGACACACATAGACACACAGAGGAGCACAGGGACACACATACACAGCCACACCACATAGATCGACAAAGGCGCGCTGTCACACTGCCACACTGACACACACTGGCACCCTGACACACTGACACTTAGACATAGGCGCGCATGGGCGCACATTTGCGCACATAGACACAAATGACACACATAGCCGCACATAGACACACCACACCTAGTTACAGGCAGACACACAGAAAGACTGACACGTAGACACACCGGCGCACCCAGACACACATAGACACACACGCGCACAGGGACACGCGTGGACGCACATAGGCGCACATGGACACTCGCCGACGCGCGCTGAACTGTGACGCTGTTTGCAATCGGAAGGGTCCTGCGTCGATTGCGGAGTGCCACCAAGCTTTGGTTATGGAGTTGTCGGAGTTGTTCACTTTGGCTACGGAAGGATCCTGCGTCGGTTGCGGAATGTTTCCATGCTGTGGTGTCGGAATGGTTGCGCTTTGACTACGGGGTGTCCCGTGTCTATTGCGGAACGCCTCCAAGCATTGGTTGCGGAAGGGGCCCTTGTCGAGTGTGGAACGCCTCCAAACTTTGGTTACGGAAAGGTTACGGAAGGGTCGCGCTTCGATTGCGGAACGCGCCAAACTTTGGTTACTTAATGTTTACACTTTGGTTACGGAAGGCTCCCGTGTGGATTGCGGAATGCCTCCTACGGAATTGTTACACTCTGGTTACAGGAGGGTCCCGTGTCGCCTGTGTAGCGCCTCCTAACTTCGGTTACGGAATGGCTACGCTCTGGTTACGGAAGGGTTTCGTGTCGTTTGCGTAGCGCCTCCAATCTTTGGGTTGCACTTTGGTTACGGAAGGCTGACTGCGGAAAGCTTTCAACCTTTGGTTACGGAAAGGTTACACTTTGGTTACGGAAGGGTCCCTGCGGACTGCCTCCAAACTTTGGATACGGAACGCTTATGCTGTGGGTACGGGGGGCCCTGCTTTGGTACACTTTGGTTACGGAAGGGTCCCGCGTCGGTTGCGGAACGTTTTGAAAATTTGGGTTGCGGATTGGTCACGCTTTGGTTATGGAAGGGACGCGCGTCGGTTGTGGAATGCTCCAAGCTTTGGTTTCGGAGTCGTTACACCTTGGCTATGTGTGGAAAGGTCCCGGGTCGGGTGCGGGATGGCTTGAAAACTTTGGTTGCGGAACGGTTACACTTTGGCAATCGGAAGGGTCCCGCGTCGATTGCGGAATGCCTCCAAAGTTTGTTTTCGGCGTACGGAAGGGTCCAGCGACGCTTGCGAAATGTTTTCCATTCTTTGGCTACGGAACGGTTGCGCTTTGCGTACAGAAGGGTCCCACGTCGATTGCGGCACGCCTGTAGACTTTGCTCTCGGAAAGGTTAAAGGTTACACATTGGCGCCGGGAGGTCTCCCACATTGGTTGCGGGTTCACACAAACAGACCCAAAACCTTGGTTACGGAACGTTTGCGCACTTTCATTGCAGAAAGCGTCTCACGCGGGTTGAAGAACACCTTCAGACCTTGGTTGCGGTTTCAGTTTGGTTACGAGCAATAACTAGATAATGGATACACTTTGGCTACTACTGAATGTTGCTAGTTTGGTCACAAGAAGAGTTGCAATTTGGATTCGGAAAACCCCTGTAACCTTTCGCCAACACAGAACAGCCACCCTTTGCGGCGTGCTCGGTCCCAGCAAGGGTTGCGCCCAACAGGATCATACTACTTGTGAGACGCATTGGCTGCGCTTTGTTGCAAACTGCAACGGCAGCAATGTGAAGGGTGAGCGAGCAGCTACGCTTTGGTTGTGAACATGTCACTTTGGCCATGAAGATGGCAACACTCACGCAGCAGCCCCGCACCATGGTCACAGGCGCTTGGGTGCGGAAACGAGAACAGTCGCGAAATGCTGTCAGACCGGTTTCCTTTCCCTCCGCTTCATGACTTGTCCAAGATGACCATGACTGTGAGTATGCTGGTGGCGTAATTGAAAATGCGTTGCGTTGAGGAGATCTCGCCAGCAAGCTTTCTGGACTTCAAGTTCAAAGGTGTCTCTCAATCATATCCCCATCCATATTGGCAGAACATAAGATTGCTTGGAGTCAGCGCGCTTGCCATTGAGCCAACACAACGGCCGTGCTCCAAAGAAGATTCGGGTGTCAGAAAACTCTCACATGGAAACACGGACGCGCATAGGCACACAGGCGCATAGGCGCACGTAGGCGCACGCAGGCGCACGGACGCACAGACGCGCAGTACTGACACACTGACGCACATAGACACACAGACAAACAGACATAGACAGACTGACCCACGCACACACACACACACACTGACATACATAGACAAACTGGCGCACTGAGACACTGAGACAGTGAAACACTGACACACGGACACACTGACGCGTGGATGCATAGACATACAAACAGACCGCGAGCTTCAGCCTGCCGCGGGGTTTGGATTGGTTTGGCCATCAGGTAAAAAGGAACAAGCGCTCCACCAATCACAAATCACAGCATGGAACCATCATTCTTCCCTTGTCCATTGCGGGTAACTTTCTGATTGAGAAGCGGGCATTTGCGCTGGCTGCAGGTTGGTGTCTGGTGCTTTCGTTGCTCCAGCGCTTTTGCAGTCAGGGTTCTTTGCCGGAATCGGCCTGTGGTTCCTAGTTATATGACCAGGCTTTGGCGTATAACGCCTTCCACGCAGACGGATGGTGTTTGACTTCTGATGGGCAACAAAGCGGCCACGAGATTCAGCGGGGTTTCCTTTTGCTCGGAGACCGCTTTCACTTTGCTTTCTGTAAGGGAGTCCGACACAGTACGAGTTTGCGTCGGTTGGAGCACCCTCCTCTTAAAATGATTGGTTGCGTGAACCTGATTCTGTGAATGTTTACCGAAGGGCCAAAAGGCTCATGTCTACTGGACAAATTCGTTTGCGATTTTCACAAAGCGCCGCGCAGCGTCACGGAAGGCTGTTGGCGGAGAAGGACCTGCTTCTCTCCCTGAAGCTCACCCACTTCGAGTCCCGGAGAGAAGACTCAAACTCGGGCCCAAGATGTATGGTTTCCATTGGTTCCCATTCAACCCAGAGAAGGGCACCCTCAAGCTTCGACCCCGAGGATTTCAACAACACAACTCATCATCGAATGCTGCGGACCATCTACGGCAGGCTGTCAAGGAGCAAGGCGCATTTTGCGGAGGTTTGTGAGAAGGAGACCCGAGGAACAAGGGAAACACAAGGAACCAACCCCGCAAGGAGGGTCGCGTTTTGTCATTGAACCTCGTGCTTTCGTGGTCATGTGCCAGTTGAACAGTTCATCGTCTTCTGTTGGGCGAAATGCTGCGCGCAGCCAAAAAAGAAGAAGACGTTGACGTTTCCTCCCACCCCGCCAAACCGAAAGCCAAGAAGCGCACTCCATCAGGCCCGAACCTTGTGCGCGAGTGCCAGGGGTCCAACTCCTTTTACATGTGTTTCGATCGCCTCTGAAAGTGTCTGTTTGATTCGGGGAAGCGGTGTCCTTTGTGACCCTGCAGGTCTGTCCGACCATTGGACGGCATTGGGAGGTGGTGGGCTTCCAATCCGGCGATCCGCGGACCGACCTCAACCGCTCCGGCGGCGTCTTGAATGTCCTGCAAATGTTCCACTTGTTCTCCCACAATTTCGAGATCATGAAATCTGCTTACCTGCTTGCTCAAGATGTGGAACAGAGGCTTTGCTGAAAAGAGCAGCGTCGCCAACATGGAGCTGCGCTGGTTTCATTGCACAACTCCTGTGAACTTCCGTATTTGCTTGTGACAAGGGTTTGCGAAATGAATGTTTTGCCACTAAATTACCAGCGACGTGACATATGCGCGTACCGGCCACATGTGGCTCAGGCCAAGTGTCCTCTTACCTGGCTTAGGTTTACCCCTTCAAGGGTCGTGGGGGCTCGTGAGAGCAAGGCAAAGTAACACATTGAGTTGATTGTGCTGCTGCGTAAGATTGGTCATGAGCTAAGCGGGGGCCCCACAACACTGGTTTGGAATACCATCCCTGATCAGATGGTTGCGGATGTAAAGCAAACTCCAGGTGACCGTGCTGTGGGCCGGAGTGCGTAGAGGACAGTGCCAGAAGAAGAGCCCGATGACGGAGAAGAGAGTAATGAGGACGAACGCGGTGAAGGGGGTAGTGATGAAGACGAAGTTGAAGTCGAGGTGGAAGCTGGTCGGGGAGTCAAAAGAAAGAAGGGGCACGGAGCAGATACGCCCGAGCCCATGCTGACGCGGAAGAGGTGGCGAGATGTTTGAAGGAGTTCACGGGAAGAAGGGGAATTCGGGTGGCTTACAACGACGAGGCTCTCACAGTTTGTGAGTGCTTGCCGTCTTTGTTTGATCATTCCTTGCCCGGAGGGCGGCGGAGTCCTCACACAGTGGACAAGGTCGTGATGGCCTGTCATCCGCTGCTGAAGAAGAGGCAACGGGGTGAGGGGCAACCCAAGGATGGTCCTGATGAAAAAAGGGAGTGGCAGAGATCGGCCACAAGACATGAAAACAGGTTCTGGGGAAGGTCCTGCAAGGGCAGGAGGGCCAAAGTGTCACGGAGCGAAAGGTGAGACCCCGTTGGCTTGCGCCTGGACATTGCAGATGGGGTTGAAGGGGCGAAAAAGCGGTTGTGTTTCAATCGTCTACAGAGGGGTCATAAACAGCGTTGATGAAGTATCGATTGACACATATCTACGGTACAATTTTTCAGTGGAGGAACCTTACAAAACTCCCGATGAATGCAAACACGTCAGCAAGGGTAAGCCCGGGCGCACGGGAGGAGGGCACTTCACGGCCAACAAATATTTCACCCGAGATGTCCCACTCCAATAGTAGTTGCTGCAGCTCAAAGAGCGCATGAAGAAAGCCAAGAAATTAAGGCGGAATGTGCGTGAATCGGCGACTGAGTGAGAAATCCGGTCGATACCTGCCTGTGGAAGCTAGCCGGCAACGCTAAGAGGAGGGGCAGCGACAGCAGGATCCTTACCGCAAGGTCCCTACGCCCGGACACATCAGGACACGATGACCTGGAGCAAATCGCACGAGTGCGGAAAGCAACGGACGAGTGGCTTTCTGGTTTTACTCGAAAGGAACGTGCTCCTACACAAACACTGCTTATTCATGCAGAATGTTCGAGAAAGGGATGATGTTCGAGCAGGGGCTCTTCGTCTTGCCGCGCTGTGAGCATTCCGTGGCCGTTCTGATTGTGATTGTTTCCGGTTCTGGTCGGGCCCCAAACATGTTGCGTGCAAGTGTTTCAGGTCCCGCACGGCTCTGCCACTTCTGCTTGCCGCTTTGGTTCAAGTTGCATCGGGCACGACCTCTAACGGGCCTACGACTTTACACCCTGAGCCACCACGCTTGAGAAGCGGAGCATCCTGGTCGGGTGAGACACCACGGAGAGGCCCTTGTTTACAATCGTCGTATCTCCTACAAGCGCACTGTCGGAGAGAACGCTACCTCTACTTGTCTTCGTTAGTGGCCATGGTGCATCATCATTCCTCCTCCCGACAGGTTATCGGCCGTAACGCGGCTCTGCAATATTGAGGATAATGAACACCTCAGCGACAAGCGCAGCTACGTTCGGTGTTCCAACAGACACATGGCGTTGACGGCCATTGCGAACGACCTTGATGGCAACGCAAGCGCACGTTCACTACGTAGCCTGGATTTTTCTGTTAATCATGTCTGCCAAGGACGGGAGAACCCATCCGAATCACCATCATTCGCAAGTAAGCCCAACACTATCGAGGGCAAGGGTGTGGAAAAGATCTTCAAAACGCCACGACGACCATCGCCAGGCTCTCGAAGGCGCTGGAAGAGATGACGAAACAGGATTATGGAAGTGGCTTGAGGACCAAAGAACTCGAGAAGGCTCGGAGTCCCTCCGGGCACCAGACAAGAGACACCCCACAGAAGCGCAGCCAGGAAATGGAAGAGGCGAAGATGCGCGTCATGGATCAGATCTTCGTCGGAAGCTCAAACAGCGCTCTTTGTGCTATCATTCAACGAGAAAGAGGAAATCGCTAAGAAGACGGCGATATGGGAAAGAGCTGGGAAACTTACCGTGTACGTACGGTAGGGGCGCTGAATCAGGAAGAATCTGCAACAAGGCAACCGAGGACACACGCAGAGGAAGTTGATCATCAAGCGTCTACGCAGGTAAGTAAGCTGGAAGACTAGAGCGAGACTTGAATTTGCGCACGAAGAAGCAGCTGCAAGTTTGAGCAGAAGGCTTGATGATGTGAGTACACAACTCCACATGAGATTGATCTTGGAGAGTCGCCAGATATGCTTCTGAAGAGGGCGAACGAGACACGGGCTTACGCGCAACTGGAGGCGAGTGTGGCACGAAGAGCAGCCAACGGAGAAGCTATTGCGCAGGCCGACTCTCGTGTGTGTTGACCCTGTGTCTGGCGTGATAGTTCATTTGTGCCTGCAGTGAACAGTGCGGTCTACCTCACTGATGTGTAGTCCACCAAGCGATTGACGTCGAATAACAAGGAGCCAGTATCGGCACTGATCAGGCCTGCAGGAAGGAGGCGTACCATGGTCAGGGCGTAGTGTAGACACGTGTTGAACATCATGTAGCGCATATATGTGGCTCTCTGCTCAGCAGTGTACTTTGGCGAGCTTTGTGGAGGACACCGTTGGTGTGTGTTCGCCCGCTTTCAAAGCAAACTGTCTTCTCCGGCGGCGCGTTGGCCGATGTTGACAAGGACATGTGTCTGGGACAATGTGAACATGGGCTGTTCAAAGGGCAAAAGGGTAAAATGAAACGGCTGCAGGATGTGTCAAGGCATTTCTTGGCCTGCGTCCACATGTGAAGCAAAAAGAATGCCTCACATCTAGGAAGTTGAAAAAAGCATGGCTGCGTCTAGCCAAATAGCGTGTCGGCTGGTTGAGTAAAAGTGGGAAACAAAAATGTGAGCTGTGTGAAGGCTCGCAGGCCAAAGTTGCGGACCTCGCCGGTGACAAACTTTGTCAGAATGTCAGCAAGTTTTGTCCCCTGCGCGTATTTTGCGCATTGTGATGGTGTTGCTGCTTTGCTTTCTTTGATGTACCTTGAGATTGGCTTTGCTCCCTGCCTGTTTCCTAGCGTTGGTACGACCGTCGAGCGCCTCCTTCATCCTTCCGCTTTAGAAACCTTCGCTGTGCTCCTGTACCGGCAGCGTACAGTTCTGACCCTGCTGATGAAGCTGCTATTGTTGCTTGTGTTTTGCTTTCATAGTGAGGTTTTGTTTACAACAATATGTCACACAACTTGTGGTGCTTTTGCTTGTTGTCTTGCCTTTTGCTTGTTGTCTCGCAGAATGCCCAGTTGGCATCTGTGTAGGAGTCGATGGGATTCGCTTGCGTTGTGTCTGTATCTTTGGTCAGGCTGTGTCTCATGTATCTTGTAACCTTGTGGTGTCTTGCTCTACGTTGTCAAGTTGTGTTGGTGCTTGCAGCGATTTTGCCAGCTCCTTTGCTCCCTAGCAAACGCGTCTTGTGTGCGCTAGCCGGTGTATCTTGCTAACAAACCGCCGACGTGGCGGTCGAGGTGTTGTCCTTTTGCGTTCAGGAGACCGTCTACGTAGATGATATCAGGTTGTGTGTGATTGCTGCAGCGTGCGCGTCTTCTGCGCAGACCTGTGCACTCCGTGTCTTGCACAGAGTAAGCCATGGCCGGTAGGTTCTGTGTACTGTAGGCTCAGGGCCTTGATGTGTAGAGCTGAGGCGAGGCGTGAGAATGACTGTGCAAGGGTCTTAACAGTTTACCAGCTCTCTCTCTCTCTCTCTCGTTAAAATCGGAGTTACAATTACTACAAGTGCAAGTGCAATGCTGTTGTTGTTAACATAAACAAATGTAGTCTGCTGCAGCCTTTTGTTTTCTCCTTGTCAGGCTGAGGCTCAAGGCCTGCGGTAGTGTACACACATGCAACACAAATGCAAGTAGTGAAGCATGTAGTTTGACACGGCCCCTCAGTTGAAAGATCTTTCTGTAGTATCTTTCCAACTGGCGTGGAAAGCAAAGGATTGCCAGTAGTGATGAAAACTCTTGTTGTTCATCTATGCTACTGTAGTGAAAAGAAAAGAGGTGGAGTCCTCAGTAGCTCACGCTGTTCTCAGTCCAGAATGTAGGCGGACTGAGCGGAGTTGGTGAGGAAGCGCCTGTAGTTGTAGCCAAGCCCGTAGCTCAGACATGTAGTCCCCAATGTTGAAGCCGGTAGTTGCGTACCTGCTCCAGTCGTTGGTTCAAAGAAGCGATCGCGAAGTGCTCGGTGAAGTCCGGCGCACCACGTAGTCGATTGTCGTCGACCTCTGGTGGTGCCCTGGTGTTGGTAGTTGCGGAGGAAGCGGTGAAGTTGCAGTCGTTGTTGCGCAGTGAGGTTTGTCATTGTGAGTAGTGTGAATTCATAGTAGGGGATGCTTTTGCAAAGGATTGTAGTGATTGCTTTGTGTTGGAAGGCATGCCGTTGTTCGTGGTTGTTGAGGTAGTGAAGTAGGTCAGGTAGGAACAAAGGCATGTGGTAGTTCCAGACGAAGTTGTTCTTCAAACTGTAGATCTCAGTGAACCTGCCCATGTCATAGTCCACCTTGTAGATGAGTTGTGAATGTTGTGAGATTGGAAGGTAGTTCGTTGTCTGGATGGAGAACATGTACGAGATGTAGACGCGAGTGAAGTGGATGAATTGTCCTGAGG